CGTATACCTACTACTACTACTACTACCACTACCACTACCACCACCAGCACTTCCGTTGTCTCAGGAGATCCGTTGCTGTTGGTACTAATATGGTCTGGGCTACAACGGCAGCCAGCACTATCAGCGCTATCATGTTTCTGATTGTGTCGTGTTCTTTTCATCGCAGCGGAGCTCACGCACGATAGCCAAGTGGCAAAAAGCTACGACTCCATTGATCTGTGTCAAGTTCAAGAAGAGTCAACACTGTACTGATCATTGCTGAGATGACCGGAAAACTGTAGCGCAGTGTAATGCAGGACACAATCCACAGAAAGAAGAATTCACGCGATTCACAGGAGCCGGTGCTATGCCATCAAAAGTGTGGGACGCTGCCCTTTGTGGCTCCAGAGGTGCTGAAGGGCGAAGGGCCGCCTGGCTGCAGAGGGCCATACGGAGAAGCTCGGGGTTGCTCGAACCGGGCGCGAATTGGTCAACTCCGAGGTATCATGCTCTGCCCGTGGACCTGTGGGGCCGCTTGGGCAAGTAAAGTGGGTCACGTCACGTGCCTTGGAATGTCTGACCATAGCAGCCTGAACCTGAACGCGAGGTGTTGGCATTACCATCATCGAGGTGATCTGTGGCTCTCGTACAGTCGACGAGGCTTCAGCAGCACAAGAAAATTTCATAGGCGCTGCCTCGAGAAGAAGGGAGCATGTGTTGTCCTTAAAGGTCTAGGGAAGACTGCCGGCCGTCAATATGCATGCCTCAAGGGCTCGCCTGTGTGTAGTGATTTGACAGCACAGCAGGCCTTGGGCATCTCGGAGGAAGACCATCCCGCTTCGTGCTCAGGTTGGAACTTTCCTGCGGCTAGGCCCCCTCCTGAAGCTGGTTCGCGTCAAAGCATCTAGCAGTTAAACGGAACAGAACAGCTGCTGAGGCGCTTGGCTACCGCTGGCCGGATGGCTCCTTCTTGCAGAAACTCTTGGAAGGCCAAATGTCTCCAGGACGACTCTGTATGCCCACCTGTGACGGAGGTAGAAAAGGTAGAACTGAGGGGTGTTGTTTAAAGGGGCAAAGAAGCTTCCTGCACGAACACCTCCTGACAGGTTTTCAGGAGCCTGGCTCTTCCGGACAGCTTCTGCGGCTTGGATTCCATTGCTGGGATTGCAATTTGCTGCCGGGAAAATCCAGCCGATGTGCCGTGCCTTCGTTAAGCTAAGGCAGACGCGCTGCCTGCCGCAGCTGCGGCACTTCCTTCCCTCACTGGAGCGGTTGGCCCGGTGAGTCCTCGAGCAGTAGGAATACGTTTGGCACAGATCGGCCGCATGATGCTGCATATTGCTGCATGTTAACAGCATCAGCATGGATTACAGAGGTAGCGGTCCACAGTGCACCGTTTGCAGGTGTAGACAGTTGAGACGACGCGATGTTGCGTGCTGCAGTTAGGCTTACATGGCTGGGAGAGAGAGCCTGCAGCCGCAAACTCGTCAACTTGGGAACGTCCCGGAGCACCCAGCTATGAGCCCTCACCAGCAAAGCACGGAAGCGAGGGACGCCCTCTCCCCTAGAGTCTGAGACGCTTTGTTCCCTGCCTTGGTCTCCAGGCCGGTGGTGGATGGCTTGCTCAGAGTGGATCCGGAGGAACTTGCTCATGATTGTGGGGGGCTTCATTCGTGAGCTACTGCTTCGGGAGATACTGATGCTAGATTTTGCAATGGGCTTCTGCTTCTCATGTCCCGACCTCCTTTCAACAGTTCAGCAGAAGTACCGGCCGGATGTGCCCTGCGATGTGTCTGCGAGGACCGATGGACAGCCACAGAGCTTCAAGCGGCACTAGAGCTGGTGCCGAAAGGCCTCCGAGAGCTCGGCCTGCATGCAATTACATGCAAGCGCAGCTACCAGTAGGGAACGTAGCGGCATGATTTGATCTCACCACTAATACGACAGCAGTCTGGCAAACCGAAATTTTGGTCTCAGTCTCGGGCTCCACAGTACGCAGGAAGGATCGGGGCCAGCATGTACTGCCACTTGATCAAATAGTCCCCATCTTGCAGTCAGCACCCGCCCGATGTAAGCAATGTAAGCAGACACGAGAGTGCAAGCACATGCTTTTGCCCGCAGGCCCTCCTGCTGCGCCTCCGCCTCTGTCGCCCACGCCCCATTTTGGCTGCAGTTAAACTCCGACTGCCTCGAAACCGGCCCTCATGGGCGTCGCAGTCCAGGAGCGGTTGCTCTCCTAGCCGCTGATTCGACTCAGGCCACTTCCGCAGATGATGCACAGACCTCAGATTGCTTTGCTTTCTCGTCGGGCATGCGTGGAGAGGTTGGAACTGTCGCAGGGAGTGTAGTTTTGATTGAGTGCCGGCGATGAAAACCTCTGCTGAGCAGCGAGTATGGCATATCCTCTTATGGGGGACTTTGGCAGTTGGAAGACTGTCACTTCTTGCAGCGGAGCCCACTCTCAACTATTCGTTTCTGCATGTTGGATGACACGTTGAGGGGCTCGGAGTCGAAGACGAAGCATGTCCAAACACGTCTGAATGTCGGGATACTTCCATGCTCGTAAACCTGCTAAAGCTGCGATTCCATCAGCTGGCTCCGGGCAACTAATGCCTGGTGGGGCAAGCAAGATATTTATCCGCCTGACTCATCCCCAGAAAGTCGAACCGGGAAAAGAACTCCTCCTTGGTAAGGATGTCTACAGCAGCTGCTGGTTGGAAACACGTCGTAGACAAAGGATTTTGAAGCATAGCATAGCTTGCATGGTGTCATGTTTCACGACTGTTGAAGCCTCTACAGTCTTGCAGGCTTCCAGACAGCGAAGACACGCAAGCAGCGAGCTCATCGCACGAACATGTGAGAAGCCTTGTTGCGCAGAAGCAGGCTTGACTAGGTTCCAGTCACGAGTAAACCGGCTGTTGAATTTACATCACGAGCTGGCTCACCTTCCGCTCAGTCCGTCCAGATGTTGGCCCCTGCCTCAGTTGCGATGTGCTGCAATGCACGGTCGCATGCCTCACACCGGCAGAAGCGATGTCTGCGTTTGCACCGCACTTGAGCATGTGCAGGTGATAGATAGCGGCTCATGCCGACAAGCTGAACAAATCTAAGTCGCATTGACAAAGACTGAGGGCAGTACTGCGCAAAAGTAACAACGTCTTCGTCGTCGTCATCCTTATTGTCTTCGTCATCACCATCACCAGCATCACGACCACCGTCCAACCTGCCAGAGCAGTACATATCATTCTCTTTCCATGCCATGGTTCTGAACTGTAGATTATATGATATTCCCACTAAGAACCTAGTGCAATGTCTTTATGACGACGATCCGATAGCTCTGAGGCAGGGGAAGAGCAGGAGGCGAATGAGGATGAGGATGACGAAGACAATGAGGGTGATGACGTTCAAGGATCAGGAAGTTGATGGCGTCGGATGGTCGATCCGGCGGTTCTCAGAGAACAGACAGATTGAAGATTATTTGGGTAGCAGCCGAACCCGTGACCAAGCGGCCCTGGGGCTTAGGGGCGCATGATGGCACATGTGTCCGGGAAAATCCAAGAAGAAGAGCAATGCAGCTTGCGAAATAATCTGATTCTGCCGGCAAGGGCCTTGTTGGTGCCAGCCATTAAGATCCGTTGAGGACGAAACCCATGGCGAATTCAGCGAGCTTCAAGAGGAGCAAGAGGCAGCTGCGAGCTTGGAAAACACCGGGTCCAGAACGATGTTTTGGAGATTCCTGGCCTCGCGGATGTCTCGGAGGTATGCTCAATGCGCAGGCATGTTTGTATGATTTGTATGTGCTAAGTCTGCCTCTGCGGCTGTCACGGACGATCTTGTGCCCTCGAGAGAGTTGGATGGATCAGCAAAGGCCTCTTCAGCCTCCAGCCACGTCAATACACTTCTCTCTTAGGCGTCTCTGGTGCGCAATGAGTCCGCCAAAACTGCTGGAACGCTCGGAGGCGGGCAACTGCTAGATATTTTGAAAGATTACGACTGCGCTTAGATGCAGCTTTAGAGCAGATGAATCTTGTTGCATCTTCTTGCGGGCTGGACATTGCGCTGCCAGGACCCGGATTTCACGCCTTCCACGACGACTGAGGCTTTTGCGAAGCTGGCACGAAGGCTCTTTGCTGAAGTAGAAGGATGCTGCGTTAGCCTTCTTTCTGCAACTCAGGCACGTCGGAGAAATCATGCCTTCAGCGCCCGAGCTCACCGTCTCACCACTTTCCGGCAAAGCTGGAGGCTCTAGTCACTCTAGTCAATAGTCTCAGGAGGTGCAGAAGGTCAAAGGTTTTGCGTGCTGTTCGTCGTGTGACCGGCGACACGGTCCAAGAGTCTGCAGTCGAGGAGTTGGGTGCCATTTCTTCGAGGAGTTGGGTGCGATTTCTTGGATTCTTGGACATGGTAGAGTTCAGAGACCGGCCTTTCAGAAAGCAGATGATAACAACCCCAGCATTCAATCAAACACTGTTCGGGTTCCGTGCAGTGCAGGATGTAGAGCTTCGCCTGCTGCCAAGCTTTGGCTCCCAAGCCTCTTCCTGTGCATGCTCCTGCCGGGACAAGGAGGCATCCCACCATAGTCGCACGTAAGTTCCCAGACTTGGCCAAGATGAAGGCTTCAAGTACCCATCGGCGGTCGAAGTCGGATCATGGACAGTGCGAAGGGAAGCGAAGCGAACTAGGAAAGTTAAACTCCGTAGAAAACCTCGTGAAGGTCATGGGAGCAGATGACCTGGATGCAGAGACATTGAAGCGGCTGAAACGAGAGGCCCGGTCAGGGCCAATTTCCATGAGCTCGAGACAAAGATAAAGGAAGAACGTGTTGGCGGAGACTCTGGGGTGCCACCTTAGCACAGAAAGGCACAAGCCTTTGCCGTAGCCGGACTTCGATCCAGGATGAGCTTTGCATGACAGGCGGCCATCCGCTCGAAAGAGCAGGACTTCGAACGCCGGAAGAAGGCAGCACTCGAGTTGAGCTGAAGCTTTTCAGGGTGATTGAAATGATTTCTGGGTCTCGATTCAATAGGAGTTGGAGACGTACGGAAGGCTGGCACTGCCCGCCGAAAGATCAACAGCATCAGAAAGCCAGAGAAATGAAAAATACGCCGTAAATTATAGATTACGCCTCAGTGGTGTCGCCAGCTTGTGCAAGGCCGAAGAAAGGAAGAAAAGGGAGCAGCTTCAGGCTGGCACACGCCTGATCATGTCTCCGGCACCTTTCATGTGACGGTTGCAAACGCTCTAGGCGCTACGGGAAGAGTCGGGTTCTCGACACCTCGTAGCCAGCAATTTTCCGTTCTTCGAGTTCTCCGGCGCTTGCTCCGCATTGCCCGCATCGGTTTCGGCATGTTTCGGCAGTGCATGGACCGAGGTATGAAAGCAAGCAGACGAAGCGGGAGCACGAAAGGCGGGGTACTTCGATCCGTTCTTTGCGGCTGTTGGCTGAAGTCCTCCGTTTGCGTCTGTCGCACGGTCCCTGGAATGGGAGGCTAAGCCTGCTACAGAAGCAAACTGAGCTGCGAGCCAGAAGGAAGGCGGAACCCATTCTCTGCACGGGATGAAACAGTTGTGGCGAGTGCATGAAGGGATGACCGCAGTTGTAATTCGTTTGGGCTCGTACTTCTTGCATGAACAGGCAGAGAATGACCGCTTGAACCAGCTCAGAGAGAAGAACATCTTGAAGAGACATCAGGCTCCGACAGTGGGATGGCATCGGGATCGGTGTTTTCGTCAGGGCCATCATCAAAGGCTTCAGCGAGCAACTCCCAAACTCTGCGTCACCTGTGGTTTGGGGCGCTGTGCGCCGCTGTGCTTAGCTGATAAGTGTCTCTACACTCTATGTCGGGTTGCATCGGAGATATATACGACATCACTCTGATATAGCGTGATCGACTGTAACAAGGGTGAGGTTCTCGGGGTTCACGAGCGGCCTCAGGCTTGGCGCAAGCGTGCGGACGCCGAGATCTCGCACATCATCGAGGACCAGGCCGGGCTATGCCGGGCTTAAATCCGGTCATTCCGGCCTCAGTAGGACGGGCCTCGAGCCTTGCACTCGCAGCATCTCGCAGCTCTCCATGTCCTCGCAGGTGGCTGAAGAGGAGCGCTTGGAGGAGGTGGGCTGTTCTCGTAAGGCAGCTTCGCAGTAAATTGTATGAGGGAACTCGTCGTTTGGCAGATGGTGGGCGGATGTCACATCCGACCGAAAGGCGTAAGCGAAATTGTCATTGCGCGATGTCCTCTGCGTGGCATCCATTTGGCTTACAAGGTCGCCTGAGCCTCAGGTCGGAACTGATTTTCTGTTGTCCGGAATGGTGGCCATCGTTGCCGTGCGAGCCTCTGTGGTCGCTGTCGCGGAGACATGCAGCATGCCGACCTCGATCACCAGTGTCCTCACTGATGGGAGTACCATAGCTGGGGCAAGAGATGTGGCTGTTTCGGGATCCTATGCGTATGTGGTCTTCTATAATACCGACAGACTCGGTCGTGGACATCTCTGATCCCACCAGCCCGACGATGGCGACAGACCTTCTGGACAGCACCAACCTGGATGGACCAGCAGCTGTCAAAGTTGTGGGCAACTACGCCTACGTCGCCGGCTACATGTCCGATTCTCTCGCCATTGTGGATGTTAGCAACCCGACCTCCATCACAAAGGTCGGCAGGCTCAAGAGGCTCAACACAAGTCCCTCCGGTGACAGAGTGGTTAATAAAGCTGCGGATGAGGACGATGTCGAGGTAGATGAGGTCGACATCGAAGACATTGACGGCAACATCCGGACCGCGAGCTCCGTGCATGTCAACAACCGTGCCCACAACTTTATCAACCACTTTGTCGACTACCGTTTCAACATCTGTGTCAACATTGACATCAACAACTTCCGCGCCCGTGACATCGACTTCTACACGACCGGGCTCTGCACTGAGACAGTTAGCAGCGAGTCTGCGTGGGAGGGCGCCAATGTCTCAAGTGAAACTCCCGGCTCATTTGGGGGAAATGCAACAGCTACACTATACAACATCCTTCGACGTCCCACTCTTCCTGGGCGCTGTCGCCGTGGTGCTGGCTTTCGTTCTCCTTGGGTATTTAACATTGCAGGTAAAGCCGTAGTAGATGTACTCGTAGTACTGTGGCCAGGACGGCAGGTTTAGCCAACAGCCTCCGGAAGCAAGGCCATCAAAATTCCTGCATGCCGTCAAAGAGAAGAGAGAGTGCTGGGCTCCCGCTTGTACGGATGTGATCGGATCGCCCCCCTCTTCCAGGCACTTGTTTTTGCCGACCACATTTTCGCCTTGTGCACCGGGCATCACCGGGCCTTGCGGGTTTAGTTGCACACCCAATGCTTGCCCATAAGGGTATGGTTGTGACTGCATACTGAATCATGAGACTGCGGTTTGATTGTGATTACATGTCGTTCTGGTTAGCAGTCTTTGCGAAGTGTGTGACCTATCGTACATGGGTAGTGTTTTCCGCAACTCATCTTCCGTGCTGGAAAGACTGTGCGCTGAAGGAAAAATGAGACTAGAGTCCCTAAACCAACAAATTGCCAGGATCTGGTACTTTTCTGGCACTAGCCATGTCGCACGGTTGTGGCAGCTCCATGTCCTGTTTGAGCTTTGCATGTCCACTCAACTGCTAGTTAGTGGACATTGGCATAGATGTGGGTTTTTGCAGAGAAGAATAGGAGATGTGCCAGGCAGGCACTACTCAGAGCCGGGGGTTGCATGTGCAAGCCGCCAGCTTCTAAATCACGGCAGGCCATCGCAGCTGCACGGCAGAGAAAGCCCGGTGCCAAGATCTGCCGAGAAGGGTAGTTGGCGAAGCTTGCCGTGCTTCTTCGGAAGAAGTTTTCACCTAGGTGTTTATTGCGTTGTCAGAACTTTCGGAATCGAGATGCATTGTGAGTCCGGTCACTTCCGGAGTTCAAGCCAAAGCCACTGTCGGATTCAGCATTCCTAAGGTTCGATAGGGCCGAGGGCATCCGCCAAGAGGCCGGCTTTTGATTGAAGTGAAATCTGAATCTCGCTGTAATCGTGCACCATGTCTTCACGTGGACGTTTGCCTTCTCTCAACTCCATGCTGCACCGTCGCACCCGCATTCCTCCATTCCACCCTGGCCAGAAAATGGACAAGCAGACGCGCCAAGAAGAGTTGGACATGGCACGTGGCCAGACTCAGCTTTCATTGAAGCGCCTGCAGCAGCTACTTGCCACGGAATGTACGGATTGGCACGTCGTAGCTACCTGTGGAGATGCTAGCAACGAAGAAACATTCCCGGCAGAATGACCTGCATGCAGCCTGCAAGTGCGATTTTTGGACACTGCTCTCCAATGCAGCATTTCGGATCGTTTAATGTCTCGCTTGAGCCTGGACAGCACCGTGGCAGCTGCGTGGCGAAGCTGCAAGATGGTTGACATGTTGTGGATTGTTGGTTCCGGGGTTCCGCCTGTGCGCACCCAGAAGAGTCCCCAGGGCAAGTGTCTCTCCCCGCGTTGATTTTCTCCCTTCCTACCACACTTCCGAAAATGTCTTGTGGCATATCCCCGCCCAGCTCCATGCAGCGGTGCAGCGACTATGAAACACCGACAAGTACAATGACAGAGACTGTCTGTTGCCGTCGGAGGTATTTGGCGGTAGTCGTCACAGGTATGAAGTCATTCGAACTCAGCTGGAGATGCACAGAGGGCACCCGGCTGGTTTGCTCAGGTGGCTGCCAATTTCGTCCTCAAGCCCCTGGAAGGGCAGAGGCATTGCAGCATGGAAGACCAGAAAATCCAGGTCTGTCTTGCTGGCTCGTATGCGTCAACTGCTTGCTTCTTGACCGTCCCGATGTGCTCAGTGGGCAGGATGCCATGCTAGCAGAGATCGCCAAGATGCAAGGCCCGGAAGGCGGTTCGGCGGCATGCCTGCCATCACATGCAGCTACTATGGGTCCAAACTCAACACTACTTTGTGCCGCTGTCTGTACCGAAGAAGCTCAGGTTTTGATTACGTGGTCATATGCTGCTCGGACCAGAGCGCAGAAGACTTCTGGCAGGCCAGTAGTCAGTACTGTTGTCAAGGGGGAAATGCTGCCAGAACGGACGTTCTCTGCACAGGAATCTGTTTTGCGACGCTTGATTATCATCTTGTGTCAGTCATGTGAACTTCGCAGGCAAGGCTGACTCAGACCATTCGGCAAGTCACCGGATCCAGCAGCACAGTTATTTGTGTCCACGAGGCACTGCGAGATGACCAGCTGTTTTTCAATTAAGTGTCTCCGGGACCACGATTGGAGTAGCACCCTCTTTCGGTCTTGAGGACTGGAATGGCGGGGCCGGCAACGGCCTGGGCACCCTCTATGCGTTCGTCAAGGAAACCACGCACCCACTCGAGCGTTGCAATGCAAACACAGAAAGGGAAATGCGTTTCGTGTTGGTCGCAACAGACTCTTGCTCGGCAGGCTTGCTCAAAGGGCAAGGAGATAGGCTTCGACTTGGCCCATGCAATGCTGCAGCCTGAGCATGTGCTGAAGTATTGCCACAGTCTACAATTACAGCAGCTACCATGACACTGGATGCTTGATGATGCTTGCCCTGAGGCATGCGGGCAAGTCTGTGGCCATTTACCACACCGCCGGGAAGGGAACACGTTTGGCTCCCCTGCCTGGTGCGGAGAACAACAACAAACCAGGTGCTGCCTTCTGTTGGCGTAACAGGGCTGGTGTGAAGTACAGTTGGCATCAGCGGCAGAATCTTGCTGCACTGAATGTTAGCGGGACGGGCCTGCACAAAGAGGATCCACATATCTGGAAGAAGTGGTAAGACTGCTGAGTCCGCGAAGGTGTGAAGCTGCCTGGTCTCCTGTCAGTGGGCGGCAGATTCGAGCCCATTACAGTTCTGGAAAGCGTGCTGCGTGGATCGGTTGCTCTGGATTGCTTTGACTAGGAGCCCACGCAGTTGCTCTAAAGTCCAAGCGAAGTGATGATGCCGAGGCCAGACGAGCAGTTACGGAGCAGTTCGGGGTGGTCGTTGTTCTGTTTCTTGACAAAATGCAGCATCAGACCTGGCCTTGGACTCCTTGGACTCTGCGTGGCATCTCAGGTTTTCTGGGGCGACCAGATCTTTGTACCTTCCTGTGGTATCCAGCAGACCGACTATCCCGCCGACATACTTGCCGCCTTGAGGACCCCTCAGAAGGGTCTCGAGTAGCGGTGCCGGCGAATGTGCCCATGCGCAGTTGCGACATGTTGCGAGCAGCGTAGTCAGGTACGAAAATTCAGGGGTCTGTCAATGCTGACGGCTGCAGGCCCATGCCCACGAAACAACAGTGGGAGTCGGAAGCATTGCACCAGCAACCCGAGCTAGCAATAGCATGATTTTGCGGTTCGTGGCCTCATCCTAAGTCTGGTGTCTTCGGAAATTGTGCAGACTAGGCCTGTATGGCAGTGTCCAGGAAGAAACAGGAAAACAAACACAGCCCAAAGCCTCTCGCTACTGGTTTGTGTGCCCCTTCTGCTCTGTTCCCGGCATTTTCCAGGTATGGCCTGATTGCAGTCGATTCCAAAGGTGATGCGATGCAATTGGAGAAGGCAAGTCTCCAAGTTGCTTCTGGCTTGTCCTGTGACGGCGCATGCTGCACTCAGTTGGGTGCCATGACATTGTGTTCGGCGAAGGTCACCTACGATGTTGCTGTGCAGTACCTACCCAAAGACGTCGCTCAAGTCGGTACATCCTTAGGCTCGTTCTCCGTCGGAGCCTCTGGTAACGATATCCCGAGTGGCTATCCTGCTCAGTCCAGCAGTGGCTCAGGTCTCAGCCGCTTTGATGGATGCTCTCTTGGCAGAGTTCGCCTCCGAGCTCAATGACAAGAAAGCTTGAAACCAGTCTGCATGGAGAGACTGCAGGCTTGTGATGTGTATCGAGCTGAGAGGTCTGCAACCAGGGCACGCAAATCCTCGGCAGAATGGAAACCGAGGCCTGGACTCCGATCCACATTTCTGGATGCCTCTCACCCTCAAGAAGGCCAGGATGAGCCGTTGCTTGAATTGCCAAGACGTTGAGACACACGGACTGCTTGACCGGGCCGTCATGCTGCAGGCCGATTACATTGCTGTGCCTCGGCCTCTTGCTTGGGCAGGGCTTCGCGTCTGGCATTGAGGGCTGCAGGTTTTGGTTGGGCCCGGAAAATGTGTGCATAGGTGATGGGCAAGAAGGGCACGACAGCCGACGAAGCCGGAAAGCAACCCGGCCTGGTGTCTCATTGTTGTGCTGAAAGGTCCGACTATGTGTTATTGAGTCTGTGTTGCGGTTGAGGATGTCTAGCCTGGTCCCGAAGAACGTTGATGCCTGAGCATAGTCTCTACAAGCAACCAACGAAAGGCTCAATTTGGAATCCTCTTTGCTAGCCATCTTCGCACCACAACGGGAGAGAAGACTAGAACTTGGGCTTGAAGCATCAAGCACTTTGGCTGCTACCCTGGAATTGCCAGTGTGGTCAGACTAGAATGCCGGAGACAATTCCATGAACAGAACATCAGTGCAAATTATGACATTGATTGTGTTGGTTAAACTGCGGATGTGCGCGAGCCCGCGCTGCGCGGGGTCTTTTGCGGAGAATTAAGGCACTACGATCGCATGGCGGAGTTCAAGAGCAGCTTCAAGAAGACAGGCCAACAGCAAGAAGGGTCAAACAGAGGTTGAGGCATGTGACCGCTTTCACAGCCGTCTGAACACGGCCGGATCGAAATAAGTTTAGAGTTGCCCCTGTTCAACCTACAAGTAATGCTTCACAGCAGATTCTGACAGGTGGCATTCTGGGCTGTGTGGACGTGGGGCAGCAAGACACTCGACGTCAATGTCCGTGGACCCTCATAGACGGAATCCGTTGTGGTGACAGTGCAGATTCAAAAGACTGTCCAAAAACGTTATTGAAGTTGGTTTTGATGGGTCTCAAACCGGCTCGTAAACTTTGCAAATCTCGGACGACCAATCCGAGCCGTTTGGCTCAGTCAGTCTTGAGGCCTACTGGTGGGACTATGGTCGATTAGAACTGAACCTTGCCTCGATTTAGTTTCGACATAGTTTCGACAGACATGACGACTCCGACATGATGGAGTCTATCTTCCTAATTATCTGCAGCACTAGCTGTGGCTGTGCTGAACTTCGGCATACCATGTCAAGCCTGCCACTAAGGTACATGAGAAACAACTTTCTCATCACTGTCCCTCGGCATGTAGTGTTTGTCGGGAACAAACTTTTGTTCTGCAAGTGCGAGCTTGCTCCATGGCTCATTTCACTGCAAAGAGGTTTCAGAACGATCCCCCCCATGAGGAAGCGAACGCCAGCGCGCATGCTCTGCGGACCTTCCTCCGATTGCAGCAGCCGAGTCTCGAGAGCGACCTGAGTTTGCGACAGCAATGCCGCTTGGCTCCGGAGTCTGCGCCACCGCCATTCTATCTGCAGCTAACAGCATGCATGCCCAAAGATATGAATATCATGCCACTGGCATTCTTCGGACAACTTCTACTTTTCGCGTGTTACTGGTGCGAAATGCATCTATGTTGCAGATGTTCCGTGCATTGACCTCAGGGAACACGCTGGATGGTGTCACTGTAGACTCCACATCTGTCGTGCTGAACTGCCGTATCGGGGCCGGCAAGATCGGGCCAGGCTGGCAGACTCTGTAATTTCGCCTGTCGGCAAGTCGCACTCTATGACTCTATGAAGCAAACGAACTGCGGTTTGTACCGTCCGTCTCTCTACAGGCTGCGTGTTAGTCAATGTCGTGGCTCCCGCCATAGACGTTGAGAACTGCATTCTGGCACCGTGCTCGGACATTGGCAGGGTGGTGCTTTCTGATTGTATCCTTGCGCGTCAGTCGTGATACATGCTTTTCCCCTCAGGTGAAGGTCTCGTCGTCGCGTCCCATCTCTGGAAAGGCTACATCTTGTTGGTGTACGGGTACCGCTCTCCATTGCTCCACTTGCCTTTCAGGGCGGCTTGCTGTACAACGTGGTCGAGGATGGCAAGGGCGACACCTTGTCCTGTGACCGAGTCCGAGCCGATGTCTTCATGCCAGGCACAGCCGACAACCCATGTGTGCTGTCTTGCCAGTGGACGATCCATGCAAGTAATCTTAGTTGTGCATCTCTGTACTTATGCATGCTGACAGGAAAGATGTTAATTACTCTTGTGCGCGTTTCCTTGTTCAAAACAGGTTGAAGTCGGCTAGAGGTAGCAGCTAGAGGTTCAGTCAACGATAAGCCGGTGCCGCCTCATCCAGATGGCATCCACCACAAGATCTACTCGACGCCAAGCACCGATGGCGGCAAGGCAGTTGGTAAGCAAATCTTCATGCACTTCATGCGGTTTTCACGAGTCTGGCATTGAAAGAAGCAAGTCGGTGCACGCATTACTGGGCCTGTCAAACGTGGCGTTGACCTGCAATGCCATACGTGCATCAACGCAGTCGCTCTCCCACTCATGTCTCCGGCACCGCGAGGTCTGGAAAGAGAAAGTTCAAGGAAACAATTTTAGTTTCGAGGGCATTTACAAGGCAGGATTACCTGGCAATGTGCGCAATCCCTGCTGCTGGAGGAAAGCATATGTGGCATGCCAACTCTTGTTCGTAATTAGGGGGCTTTGGATGCTTGACCTGGAGGCCAACCAGCCTCTGGACGTGTCGAAGTGCACAGAAGCTGCGAACTCCTCGCACGATGCCGTGGGCAACAAGGTGATGCCTCTTGGATACAACTCTGCGGTTTGTCTGCAACATGCTAGAATCATTGAAGAGCGAATTGCCCTCCCGCAACCCAAGGCCTGTGTCTGCGCTGAGCAACATATTCATGTCCATGTACAGCTGCTGTGCTATGCGGTAGCCAGGAAGTCGCAGAGGGTTCGAGAGGCGATGCCCTCTGAGGGGGCCTTTGAAGTGTCGCCAGTTTCGTGTACCTCTGCTAGTCACAGTCTGCAGAGAAGCTGCAGAAATCGTTGCTGGCGTGCTGCCAGCAGACATCACGCTCTGGCTATCCCAGACAAGCTTGGAGTCGCTATGTGGCCACTTTGTAGCTCGGACGTTGATTGCAGCCTGTGAAACAGGCCGTGCCGATCCATGCCGGAGTATGGAGATCATGCAACCGATCATCGTGTCTCGTTAGGTCCAGAATGGTGTTTCGCTCATCGCCATCTTAAAGACTCTGACCGTCTCGGAGGTCTCGATTCGCCCAGCAGCTTTCCACATGCTTTCGGCAATCCCGATCGGATGCCAAGTAGCTTTACAAGCGGAGTGTTTCAGGATGAGCTAGGCATCTGCAAAGGAGGACATCACCTGAGCAAGAGTCTCGGCTCCAGTCCTGGACAGCCTGAAAAGAGGCTAGGCATCCCCTGGATGCACGAGATCGATTTCCTTATAATACAGAAGCCGCGTGCAAAAGACTGAATTGGGTGTTGCGAGGTTGGAGTGTGCCAATCACTCTCGCAGAGGGTCAAACCAGGTGCAGAAGCCGACCTTGAAAGAAGCAAGCGGCGCGACCTCAAGGCTATCAACCGCCTGGTGCCTACCCTGCAGTTCCTATGACAAGCGGGACCGACATGCGGCTGTTGTTACAACAGCTCCACTTAACTCTAGCCGTATTGAAGTCTTATTTCTCCATAGCCCGTCCTGCATGGAATGTTTTTTGATTTGGCGACTCATACGGGCCGAGATTTTCAGCCCGAGGTGTCGATGCTCTGAAGATGGAAGCACGTGACGAATTGGAGCTCCTGGGAAAGCATTGAGGGAACAATGATTATTGGAAATGCACCATACACACTGTCAAACCGACGCTTGATGTTTGATCTGAACCCTCTGCTCTTGCCTTATTTTTGTTGTTATAGAGGCGACTTATTCAAAACGGCACCTTTTAAAAAGAGCTACGACTGCTGTGCACGCAAAAGGGCTTGTGCAAGAGCGAGTAAGGGCAACCATGTCGTTGAGTAAAGCTTTTGGGTATCTGTATTTATGTGAAGCCATCCAGAAGTCAACAAAAGCTCGATTGGGTTTGGAAGGATCGCGAGCAATGTGTTTGGCTGACCACCTCCAGCTCCAGCTGCAGCTGTTGTTGTAGCTTTCTGCAAACTCTGGTGTGGGGCAAGAAGCACGCAAGAGCTCGCAACGGCGGGCGTAAGGGTTATTATACGGTGACTCGCGGAACCATCTTGTCGATCTGTGATGGTTTTTCAGAAGCAAGTTGCAGCGACATCCACTTCTTTGCGACTTGTCAGGTCCTTCATCCAGAATCCGTATCCCGTGCCGCTGAAGCAGGCATCTCCTACAAATGCGGTTCTGAAGAATCCAGGCAAAGGCTCCTTCTCGCACCTACTCTAACTTGAAGTAGATTTGTGGTTGAAGGGTGTGCTACAGCTTTGACCGTCGTCCAGATCAGGTAGAAATCCAGAGGCCTTGATGCAACCCATACAGCGCACTGCCAGGTCCTAGCCGGGCGTTTGCGTCCAGTGCCAACCGCCCGTGGCTGAGTCGTTTATTGCTCAATCACGGGCCGGCGTTCCCGTCTTCACACTTCTTCGCCATGCAAGAAAGCAGCCAGAGATGAGGTGTCCGAACTGCTGGCAGCCTATAAGGACTTATGCCAATTCTCGACTGATTGAATACAGTGGCCTCCCAGAAGCGTGTTCATGAAAAGTCACTGCTGCAGAAGCTTGTTAGGTGCCGTGCCCCCTTTCTTGAGGACCAGCGGGAAGAGCTCGAATTCCTGGAAAAGGAAGACATCCCAATGCGGGCGGGGCCCGTTGTCAAGACGGTTGTTATGCAGCTTCTGCAGATCGCTTTTTGGCAAGATTCCCAGTCTCTTTTTTGGGTTCCCCTGAAGGCGCAGCTGTGCAATCAGAGCATCTTTCAGTACGTCCGCGACATTCAGCTCAAAGCAGAGGCCAGTGCTGCGTTTTTCGGAGCTCAGTGGGGGGAGCCGGTGGCCTTGGAGGCGGAGCGGATGCGGCCCCCGGAGCCGGTGGCCGGCGCCAGGGCCTTGGAACCCTGGAATCGCAGGGTCCACTCACTTCTCTAGGGTGTTAGACTTAGGCCCTAGGCTTTGCCATGGTCGACTTAAAGCACCTGCTTTCCAGCTGTGGCAATTCAGGATCTGTTGCGGACGGTCGGCAAGAAGAAGCAAGCGCCCAGTCGGGAACCCAAGATCTTGCAAGTGCAGGTGATCCTGCACTCGAGGCATGGCCACTATGTCTTGTGGTGCATGTACGACTTGTTAAATGAGATTCACACTCTAATCAGCTGACCCCTGCAGACAATGGAATAAAGACTTGCGCATTGCACCTGAAGAGCTAATAAGACCATAGACTCTATTCTCGGCGTCTTGTTCTTCCCTTTCGCCCTGCCCAGCCTCGCCGGTCAACCGGCGAACCAAGCGTGTTGGAGGGCGTGCGGCGTAGATGCTCGGTAGCGTAGCTACGCTAAATTGGGCCACCGCATTCCTCGATGCTACCTCTTGCGCCTTTGCAGTTTCACACGTGCAAATGATGACCGCCTGTCAGCATATCCCCTCGATTCATGTTGCAATACCCCACTGTGTCCAAACTCAAGCCAACTCCCCAAAGCCTTGGTTTGTGTAGCTCATCAACATGGCCATGATAGAGCCGTTGTCTCACCGTTTCACGAATCCAGATGCTGCGAAAGAAAACAAAGCTGCGACTGTGGAGCATGTCGGAGGAATTCAGAAGCTTGACGATGCTGTGTGCCTGGCCTGAGGGAGGGTTTTCAGAGTCAACCTGTCGGCAACTAGCGCGCAGAGAGAGAGAGAGAGATTCAGATCCAAGACGAGGCACGCGAACCCCAGTCTCCGGGTCTCCGTATCCGTAGGTGCTGGAGCAGCGCCGGCAGCAGCGCCGCGTAGCGCTGCCCTTTTTGACCAGATGGCGCTGGCAGCACCCCGGCTTCACTCTGGAGGTCCCTAGCAGGTTGCCTGGGCGATGAGACGAGTGCGAACGACAGCTTGACAAACATTGACATGGCCTCTTGAGCTCAGGCGGGGAGAAGTCGGACTTTTCCAAAGCGAGCTGCCCGAGGTCGAGGCTAGAGGTTCACCTTGCGGGGAACGTGTGCTGAAAGGCGAGAGTTCTGCTAGTTGAGTTAAACGGCTATGCAGACAGCTGCCTCGGATGATTGTGAGTCAAAGGGTGGGAATGATGAACTCAAGCAGCTTGCCTCCTTGCAGCAAAGCTTCATGCTGAAGACAGGCTTTCGGACATCAGGGCCGTTAGCCGTCCTGCAACGAAATGCCAGCACGATCCCATCACAGACCCCTTTGTGAGGCTGGCCAAATGCCAGCACCCAGGGATCGAGAGCGGCCTGCAGCTGCGGAAGTTCGGGAGGTAGGGCAGTTTCCGTCCGTGCTGCTTCCACCGAATCGAAAGGCAGCTTGCCTTTTGGACTTGCCTTTGTTTGCAGTGACATGCCACGCAGGAACTTCAAGACCTTTGCACAGAGCAGAGGGTTTGCATGCATTGTGACAGTCGGCCTCGGCCGCGTCGCTTGCCAGCGGCGGGACTTCGCCCACGAATCCAGGCTCGGACGGTGAGGTTATGTGGAGTAGAGAGCCTAGATTCTAGATACTCTGGCTGCTGGAACTTGACTTGCAACTTCGAGCAGACAGGCCAGCGATCCTCGTCGTCGTCGATGCTCCAGCCTGAAATCTGAAAGTGGATGGTATCAGGTCTCTAAACCGTGACGGTATCATCTATTTTCGATCGATGAGTACATCAACAGCAGCACCGAGGCATGCCAAGGCTGCAGGTTGCAGATTCAGGGATGGGGTCTTCCGAAAATAGGGGACCCTAATATAGTACCCTAAACAGTAGGATCCCTATTATAAGGACCCCAAAATAAGGTGCCCCCTAATTTTCGGAAACTCCCGGGTCAGCTGGTCAGCAGCTCTACTGACTCAGGCCAATCTCAACACTCCCCGGCGTTTCCTTCAGACTGGAGGCACGGCACTCCAGATGTGGGAAGACACCACCAGACACCACTCCGTGAATATAAAAGTAAAAAGTATGATGGAATATGGTAGATTATGTATTATCATATAACATGAAATAATGTATAATGCAGTGCCACCTAATTTCATGTAATATAATCGTATATAACATGATGCAGTATAGTATACAGGAAGAGGGAGACGCTCGCTTTTTGTTGCAGGATGTTGGCTTCGAGCTGCCCGATGGGAAGAAGCTCCTGAAGGCGCTCGACGGCAAAAGATGTGGTTCGATTACAAATTATACCAAACTCTACTGATGTAAAATAGGGTACACACTATATCCTATATATTATATGTTTAATGTTACGTACGATCTGCTATATATTGCATGATATTAAGTTATACCATATTATGTTATGTTATATTATATCATATTCTACTGTGTTTTATTCTATTTCACTATGCAGTCATTCATTCGTTCGTTCGTTGTTGCTACCATTGTTAGTTTTACTACTACTACTACTACTACTACTACTACTACTATGGTTATTATTAGAAGTGTTAGTACTGTTATTCTTACCGCTCTTATTCTGGCTATGAGTATACTATCTTTTCACCTAAAGGTTTCTCAAGGTTTTATCCAAGCTCGTTCTGGCCTGGCCTGGCGAGGAGATCGACTTTACCATTGATGCGGGGCGGAGGGTGGCTGCCATCGCCTCAGCTGTGGGGCCTGGCTGACGGATGTTGAGCTTCCATGATTTCAGTGTCCAGTGTTAAGCACATGCAGCACATTGAAGGTTGAGAGACACAAGGCCCAAGGTTGAGACATGAGTGTGTGGCTTTTCCTGGAGCGTTGCAGCGAGGTGATGGGACCCTCTGGCAGTGGCAAGTCGCCTCGACATGTTGGCCTCACTTTGTCATGTGTGCTGGCACCAAAACGAACTGGAGATCATTCAAGATCTCACTTTGTTGGCGTGTCATCGAGAGTCGAGAGGTGCACGCCTGTACGCATGTTCAATTCTCAGATGCTTCTGCGATGCAGACGACCCGAACAAGCGCGAACACCTGGGCTCATCACCACCTCTGAGGGAACATGGTCAGCACTAAGCCGCCAGGACGACCTTGCTCGGAGTTCTCAGCGGTCGAGAGCTTAGTCTCCATAACAAAGCGCAGTGCTTGGGAGTGAGAGTTCCGAAACGCCCAAGCCGTCAAGACTCTGACATCGATTTTGAAGAGATGTCCAGCACAAGGCCGTGCTTCCTACGGCCGTGTCTCGGGCAAGTTGACGGTCGGTGGCAGGCAGCGTGAGCAAGGGTGTGCCGCAGTCCCAACACGTCAAGGGCTTTAGACATGCTGCGGACACCGAAAAACGCCGTGCCAACATATGCCGGCGAGTATCTGCACCAGGCCTGCTGACGACCTCAGGCCCTGGCCTCGGTGGCATAAGTGCATTGAATACGCGAGACCCAGGCACCAGGCCAAAGCCTGAGAGCATGCTAGGTTTCTGCAGAACGTCACCGGCTTCGTGCCGCAGGCACCGTCCGACATACGTATGTCAAGGGGTGAATCAGGAGCTTTGCGCATCACCTCTCACCTGCTCGCCCTGGAAGGATGATGTCCTCCACGGAGAGCTCACGGTTGCGGAGAACCTGCGGTTCCAGGTGGCACCTTGGGGCTTCACCAGCTGGGGCGGAATCCGGGGCAGAAAGCAGTTTCTAGCCAGTTCCTCACTGTGCCGGGACACGTTCGCCTGGCTGTTCAGCCGTTTCCAGTTTCCTTCTGGGAGGCATAGGTAGGTCGACTTCCGCTTGCTGCAGAGGCCTCCTTGAGGCTTCCAGCTGGACGTTCACGCGAGGAGGCCTGGCAAAGGGACCCTTGACAAGAAGCAGCTAAGCTTTGCCTTCGCTCGTCACTGGTCATGGCTAGCGTTAGCCGATTGCGCTTGAAGATGTGTACCAGGTGGATGCATGCGTAACAGCTGCAGCGCGCTCAGCAACAGCATGGTCTGCAGACGGCATCCGTCCTTTCGTCTCAGGTTGCAAAGGATCTCAATCTCAGCAGCCTGTTAAATGTCCGGGGCCGAGATTCTCTGCCATGTCATTCTCTGGTAGCACGATGCATCGAAAGCTGCTAGACGTGCAAGCCAGTCTTGTCCAGGCACGGGTGGGGACGCCTGAACGACGCGGAGTGTCCGGCGGGCAGAGGCCCGCTTCTTGCAGACACATCGGGACACATGCAGCGAGTCGCCGAGACAGATTCGATTCAAAGAGGCAAGGGGCTACAAGAATCATCAATTTAGCACCTTGCATGAGGTCTCTTGAAATGCAAACACAGTCAACCAAATTTGTTGTGCCCGTCCATCGATAGTCTGCCCAGGAAGCGAGTCTCCATTGCAGCTTCCTCAGAAAGCCAAGTGAACAGCAAGGCTGCACCAGTAACCAACAGTTCCAGGCGATAGCTTCAATAAGTGACTACGGCCGGTAAGCATCGTGCAGAACAGCACCTAAACGTGATCCAGGAGTCTTTCACTTGTGCTGTTTCAGGGCATGGAGTTGGTGGCCCAGCCCTTGCTCCTCTTCGCGGACGAGCCGACCAGCGGGCTTGACAGCACCACAAGTCACGAGGCAGGGTGGCTGCAAAAAAGTCCAGTCTAGCGCAGCACTTCTTAACGCCTGTTCCGACGATTCGGGCTTTGGAGTTATGTTCGTGATGACACATACTGAGATGTGTTGTCTCAGCAACCTGAAGCCTTAAAGCACTGAGTGCCCCGGTCGCATTCTGTCAAACATGATCTTCGTACGCCCAGGTCGTTCGATGCCTGAACGGTGCAGCTGCTTGCCCCCTAGAAGTCTGCGCAGGGTGATCGAAGGAGTCGTAGGTTTTGTTCAGGAGCAAAGCTGGACGTAAGTGCATCGAGCAGAATGCGCTGACATGGTATTGATGGCTTATTGTTGCTGTGTTTGCGCGACTTGCACACATGGTGTAGAGACGGACACGGCAAGTGTGACGGCCTGTTCAGCCCGAACATGCTCATTTATGTAGAGGTGTCTCTAGATCGAAGTATTGGTACATTGTCGTGGCTCGCCATGCCCGCAGTTACCCAGGCAAGGCTGAATTCCACAGTGCGGGGCACAGTTCTACAGTCGTTCGATTGTGTGCAGTATCTGTACTTAGATGGGCAGGTCGTCGCCGTGATTCATCAGCCGCGCTACGAGACGCTGCGGCTTTTCGACGACCTGGTGCTGCCAGGAGCCGAGACTGACATAAAGTACGCTCTGCTGTGCTCCCAGGTCGCGAATGCGAAAGCAACTTTAGCATTGCTTAGTGAGTCGATAAGTTCAACTCTTTGCTACTCATCTCACGGTCCGGGCCCTTCGTGGCCAAGTCAGATTGCTTGTAAGGCTGGCCTACGGCGGTTGCTTGGTCTATGCTGGCCCCACGGAGGCATGGACAGGGGCAATCACTGAAGAATTTGGTTCTCAACGATCGCGCCTTTGCTATTACCCACATGTTGGCATCCACGCCGGACCGGGAGTGATAGTGGACTTCACACTGGTTGATGTTGCGATTGTGCGAGGTCCCAAACACCACGCGAAGGGGTTCGATGAAGGGAAGGTCACGAAATCACTTGCAGGACGCTGTGGAGCACTTCAAGACCCGCTTGCATGTAAAGCTGCCCTGGTTTTGCCAGACTAGGCCACCGGTGCCAGCTTGGTTATTAGTTGAATCGTCTGTCACGACTGTCCTTAGCCTTTAAACACAAGTCTCAAGGCATGCTGTGCCTCCTCGCCAGGTGACCTTCTCCAACAACACGAATCCTGCTGACATTCTGTCTTTCACCCAGCTCCTTCAGGGATGCACCCATCGCCTGCTGAGTTTCTTAGGCTTCTCCCTCTTCAAGCTCAGAAAGCATGCTCTCTCTCTCTCTCTCGCTGGATGCATGCCCTTCCGCAAGGTTGGATGCCATTCAGCCACCCATCAACGAACCTGAGGCTGCCCAAGATCTGCGACACCAGCATATGTTGGATGTCTACATATATCTTTTTTACACGGAGATTTAATATGGGTGCGCTTGTTGGGCACCAAGCCACAGGGATGGCGTTTGCGACGACAGGGGGTTACTGGCAGCGCGAGGTAAGTCAACTTGAGATTACTCTGAAGCCCATGGCAAATGAGATTCCAGAAAGTTGAATCAGCGACAGAGTAAGGCTCTCAAGTCACGCACGAAAAGCTGTACCGAAATCGCTTTCATGTTACGGCTTGTCATCTGGGGCACAGGGTTTTTAACACCATATTCAAACAGCAATCGTTCACAGTCATGGAGTTGGGAAGTGTGGGCCCAAGACATGGCAAGACAAGAGTGCGATAGAAAGCATGCAGCTATCCTGCTTGAGAGCGGATGTCTTCTTGCTCTGCACAAATGATGAGCTTTGTCTGCTTTTTGTGAAGCGCTTGGGAGAACCTTCTTGCCGTACTGCTGCACCCTAGCCAACTTTGTAACACTGTCTCTGTGTGTTCGTGCGAGGTTTGCGCAAGTGCATGGAAATCCTGCGCGGCTTTGCAGGAGAAATCGAGATGTGATGAGGGTCAGACAGTCCTAATCTCTTCAGTGCGTGTTTTGCGAAAGGGGGCTTCCAGGGCTTAGACATGCAGGACAAGGTGGAGCAGATGGTATTGCCGGCCAGCATCTTCCGTCGCACTCGCCAGCCTTTCTTCCGCGCCGCCGCAGTCTCGGCACTTGTTGCAGTTTTCAAAACGCTGACACATGGCATAGACAGCTGGTGGCAGCAAGGCTCATCCCTGGCTGTCGCGAGGTCTTGATATACATGGATCGCTCGATGCTGCAAACAATCCGGGCGCGCGGCTCTTAGCAGCTTCCACGGTTGATTCCATGAGATTGTGCATATCATGGTCCAGCCACTGGGAATTCAGAGTCGGACCGAACCCCACTGGTCTCTTGCATACCCAGGCAAGTCAGTGAGTGCCAACAGCTCGAGTGGCATGGACATATCACAACTTCCTTCGTCCTTGCTACACACACACACACACATGCATACCATCATATGCCTCACCTTGTCAACAATGGCGGAAGTTATTCCTTGCAGTCCATGCAAGCGATTCCAAGGTACGTCTCTCTGGCCATTAACTACAGCCTGTGCTGTGTGGCTGTGCTGCTACTTTGCATGATCCTCACCTACAACCGGCTGGACTGAGTGAGAACGCAATCGCGCAAGTCTGACTCTGTGGCAGGTCACTGTTCTAGTCGCATGAGTGCTCCAGCTGAACAGGACCAGTTCCTGATGCAGTCAGCCCTGGCCGCGCTGTTCCTGATGCTGCTTCAGGTCCGGAGGGCCCCTGGGCACGTGGCCAGCAGGCATAAGGTTCATGACTGCAACCTGCTACAGTTTGACATGACGGCCATACACACAGCCATGACTCAAACGCTCTACAGGAGCACTCGCAACATACTCGCTAGCTGTCAGCCCTTTCCTTCTGCATCTGTGCACCCATGAAGGGTGTTGCGGCGCAACAGGTCTTCGGCACGGGGCCCTGAGCTGTGATTATTGCAAGCGTTTGGGGCGTTTGGATTTGAGGGTCGCTCCTTCTATGAATGTACCACTTCCTTGGAGGTTCGGCCACGTCGAATGCTGTTGTTGCGAGATGTGAAGATCAGAAGCGAACCTAAAGCATCGGCAAGACGGAGGCAGTTATAGTCGGTAGAGGACGAACTGTCACAAGATCATATAGCGACGGTTTCGAGTCACAGGCCTTGGACCTAGTGCCTTGCCAAAAGGGATGTTGGAACGATGCCGAGACATGCTGCGGTTCGATATCGTAGATACGGCTTTGTTCTTCCTTCGTCGCATCGGATGCCTTTTTGGACTACGGATCGAGTGGAATGCTGGCACCTGCAAGCCTCATCGCCCATGCAGAGCTCCTCCAGGCGCCGATTTACTCACCACCTGGCGAGAAGCAAGAGAACGCTCCTCAGTGAAAGGTGGTACCTATTGTTCAGGCTAAGGGAGCTTCGGATGTTTCAGAATGCTCGGAGACATTGCGGCGCTGACACGCCATCTCCGGTCAGACCTAATGTGGTGATCTACGTGTGAAGACTTCGCGGATGTCTCAACTGAAGAAGTCCCATGTGTTAGCTATCGGAAGTCCGCTTCTTCTGCTTTTCCGAGTCTCTCACGATTTCTTGGTGCGACCACTGACACCGGAGATCACACTCGCCGCAGGTCGGCATGCCGATGGTTGCTTACTTCGTGGCCAAGGATTTAACAGCTTGCATCGAGGCCGGGGCGGTGCAACGTGGATGCTATGATTCGCAAAGAGAGTTGGATGGCGGCGTGAGGTCACGTTGTCGTCGGCGGTCTTTGCTGCAGCCTATGGCTATGCGAGTGGCAGCCAGGTATCCTTGCTTGGGCCTTGGCAGACAGGCGATGAGAATGGAACACCCTTCAGCCCGGCATGAGAACATGTTGTCCGGTTGCAAGCAAGGCGCCAGCTCTTCGCAGGGTCTTGGGCCTTTGTCTTCGCGGCTGGAACCCCAGGGAATAGTTTGACCTGCAGAGTCTGCAGCCAGACATGCTGAGATCTTTGGCCTCAACTACATCTTCAGCATCATCCTGTCACCAGGTGGATCAACGAGAACATGCCATAGCTATCGTAGCCGCATCAGTAAGATCCTTTGTTGGATGATGTCCCTGTATTATGAATCATCAGGTTAAGGCAGTCCATGCGAAAATGGCAAAGGGGTGCACGTGCGCGGTGCTCACTGCAGTCTCCAGTTGACTTATCATAGTTCTAGAAAAGTCCGGGAGGCAAGATGTTTGCCGTCACAAGTCCCACCGTGCTATGAACCCTACTACTGCAGACTGTTGGGAGTTCTAGTCGGCCAGTGCACGCCTGCGATCATGAGAGTTCATGTGAGGGCAAGGGTATGTGCAAGATGGCAGCTGCTCTGTAGAACGATTTCGTGTTAATTTAATACGAGGCAGGCACGGTGCACGGGTTATTGTGCACCCGTTGGGGACAGGACTAGTCGCCATACTGGTCTGGTATGGGAATGGCCTTTGGCGATTTTTGAAAGAACCTCCAATGAATTTACAGATGGGGTGCCGACTCGAGCATTGATCTGGCACGAGCAAGACAAGAGCTGCTTCGAAGCCAGACACATCTCTTGCGCACAGAGTGGAAAGGCTAGGGACTCCGCCTTGTCGTCCTTAGTCAAGCAGCAAACCCTGAGTCTACGGACGTGCAGTATTACAGACAAGGCTACACGATTCAGCACGAGTTCGTCGTCTCGACTAAGTGGAGCCAAAGCTTGTTTTGTGGAAACTAGCTACCTTGCCTACTCGCGGCTGCGATGTATGGTCGACCTTTCTGCTCGCCAGGCGCAGCACAGATGAGTGCTGTCGTTACATCGTTCCTCTCCTTCTGCACAGCCGGCGTCTACCAGCGTCGAACTTAGAGTGCTAGACATGAACACTGCACCCCTGATGATGCATTCTTTGTACGTTTCCGAGTGAGTGCACGCTGTTGTGCGGTCATAAGCAATGCTGGTCCTTGTGCAGACTGCCAGCAGTCAAGGGAGTGATGTAGTACCATAAGCAGCTCCTTGTGAAGATCTCGTGCAGCCATTTCTGGCTTTTGGGCTGCAGTTGCAAGTGTTGCTGCTTTTGCTGGAAACGGGATGTTCTGGCTAACCGCTGTCACGAGGAATTTGTGTAGGTCCAGTAGCTTTGAACAGTGCTGCCATTCCATGTTTGCACTGCGCATAGCTGGTGCCCTAATCCCACGGAAATTAGCCATCCCCTCTCTCCCCAACAGGGACCACTTGCAGACACCAAGTAAATATATAACTGGTAGTGTTCAGCATTTATAGTAGCAGTAGCACAAGTGGTACAAAATGGGTCGTACCAGTGGTACTAGCAGCACAGCTAGTAGTACAGTTCTCTTAGCCTTAAAACAACCCTCCAGCCACCCCTCCCCCAAAACAAAAACGCTTTGGACATGTCAAGCTGGAAGCTTTGCGTAGGAGCCGGCCCGGTCCCGTCGGGTGTTGCTTAGTCGGGGAGGTCGTTCTTTCACGTCATCTAAATCTAGGCGGGTCGCTTGATTTGTGGTCGGGGACCAATTACAACCCTCGTAACGAAGCTGTTTCTTTTGCTTGTGTCTGAATAGTTCTGCGGATGTGTAGTGCGTGTGCTTCCTTTCGCCGTGCAATTTGCGCACCTTATGAATCTGCTGTTGCTGTTTCTGCTACAGGTGTATGGTGGTTATCGCGGGCTGGGTACGAACAGCGGGGCTTCGCGAAGCCATGGATAGCAAACTGGGCGAGTGCAGCATCTGTCACTCGCAAACTTATTTCGATTTGAATGGGCATTCAGTCGAAAGGCATATTTACAACGTTGGGAATACAAGCCTTTACCTCATGTCCAGCAGTTTTGCATTCTGTCCGGAGCACAGCTAATGGGTTTTCTGCACCTGGTTGCGGAAGGCCACAGCTGAATGAGATGGCCAGCATGTTTGAAGGACGAGGTCGCGTGTCTTGCAAGTTCATCCTTGCTGCATGTGCCGACGTCACAGATGTACTGCTAGCATGTCGATCATGATCGCTTAAACGCGGAACTTGCGCTGCATATGGTCAACCATGGGGCAAGTGGCATGCCCGTCAGCAAAACAACATGCGTAGGCAGCATTCAAACGTCTGGACAGGCTGGATGGTGCCAGCGTTGAGTCCAGTTCGGTGGCTGTGGGGATACTTGCTCACAGCCGAGGTGCTGAGGGAAACTTATTTTGAGATCAACCAGGGACCACTATGTACTGCCAGTCACGTGCTTGGCCATGGAAGAGATCTGAAGTGTTGAGCAGTTCAAGCAATCGCGCAGAAACCGTACGCGCGGCCCCATGCTTGTTGAACAACCGGAAGCCCCATTCAGAAGTGACCGTGGCAGCATCGCTGTCGCTATCGGGCTTTCGATACTGCGAGGTGCCAAACTTGACACCGCTGACACTCCAAGGGTCGGCAGGCACTTTGCGTGGCAAGGCGTGTCATTGCCGGTGCAATGCATGTGAGCGAGAGCTACGCAGCACGTCCGTTCACAAAAGTTGCCATAACAACATGTCCGTCCAGTACTTGCAGCTGTGCGACAGGCAGCAATTCCTTGGGCCCTAAATTAAATCTCGAGCAGAAGAGTTGGTCAATGCCTTGACAGGGCTACGACGTGGAATACCTGCACGATTGCAAGAATTCCATGGTGGGCATTCAGGACAGACTTACTGCTCACCATGACCATGCGAGCTCTCATGTTAGCAGGAAGTCACTTTGCACAGCAAGCATAGCAGTCAAAGCCGCAAGTTGTTGTCAGAGCTCCAGTCGTCTCGTCGCCGGGGTGACACGTTAGCCTGGAAACGAAAGCTGTGCGAGGACCAGGCTGTCAGAACTCTCCAAGAGGCATGGTCAGCAATGGCACAGGTAACGCAGAGCGCTGTCGGCGAGGGGAGTACACATTCGAAGCTGATGCAGGCGTGGCTCGACAACCGAGGTTGGGTGTGTTCAGCCCGGAGCTCACAAAAGGGGCCAAGCCCATCTGCGCGTAAGGCTTCGCGACGGCTGTGTTACCGCCAGTGGGCTGTGGAAACTGCAACCGAGTCAGCTCTCACGAGCTTGTTTTCGAGGGACAAGGTTGGCAAAGAGAAGCACGCATGCAGAATGCAGGGCTTGCGAATGGCATACACGCTGCTCGCTGCTGAAGCTTCTCTCTGCACCAGCGGAGATAAAGCAAGTGCTGTAGGTTTGTTCAGTTTGTATGCTTCCCTAACATGCATCCTTCAGCTTCGCAAAAATTTGGGAACAAGCTTGCGTTGCCCGACACCGAGACCGCACCACTGCTACTACTCGGAATCCTCTTCCGCTTCCTTGCAGGACGAACGATTTGGGGGCGGGGTCAGGGACAGCTTCCTACACGGGGACACACCATCCGCATGCCGAGATCCTGAATCAGAGGCACATGTCTGGAGAGGGATCTGCACAGGATGTTGTTTGCTGCTCTATGTGAGCGCGCAAACGAGCGGCTGGGCACGCTTCTTTGGCCAGCAGTGCACCAAGTGACCCAGTTTTGCGAGTCTTTGCTGAGGCTGGTGGCAGGGATTTAGCTAGTGGGCGACTTTCATAACACGACAGTCGTTGTGTTTCAAGCTCCTGAGGTCAGAGTTGGGTGCTTGGAAATTGGCGGGCCACTTCTTCAAGCTTTTAGTAGGCCTGGCCTGCCCTCCCCCTGAGCTTCAGGATTCTCAGAAGCTGAAGCACCAAGAGACTGAGAATAGACCAGTCGGACTCAAGTCTTTTTTGAAACCCAGGTTGCTGACACAGGCAGTTTGTCAGAGATCCAAGTCTGAGCATATTGGGGGTAAGCGAGGGCAGATCTGCGGTCAGGATCGTTCTTGATCATCTTCCTCTTTGCCGAGGCCATGCTTGGAGCCTGCAGCCGAGGGAGGATTCTGGGGAGACCCTGCACTTCACGATACTTCACGTGATGGCAACGCAAGCATCATGAAGTTCCCCGTAGTGCTTCAGCCAGGTCTGGATCTTCGGAAGCCTTCATTTGGACTTCAAGGCCTAGCGCTCCTGCTGTGCAGTCTGGGAAGTGAGCCGCCATGCCAAGTACATACATGGTGCACTTGTCTAGGTTATTTGTGCCAGCTAAACGCTGCAGTTGTGACAGCCATGCAGCTGCGAAGGGAGGACATTTCGGTCGACAAGCCGTACAAGGTGGAGGAGATGGTGTCATCTCTCTGTGGTGAGCTCAAAATGCCTGATTGACAGTTTCTGCCCGAACGAGTTGGCGCACAACATTAGCTTGTTGAGTCAAGCAAACATAGCACACAATTCTGGGTGAATGGTGCTGGTTTCAGTTGTTCAAGAAATCCTCGGCAAATATCTATATATCATCCATTTTCGATCATAATATTGATGCAACTACATGGAGATCAAAGATGATTTTAATTTGGTAAAACATGTCAGATAATATATTTATCTATTTCTGAATGCCGTCTTAGATTTACAACTTGAAGTTTTATATGAATTTACATATCTCTTCAAGATATATATATATACAGAATTCTATATTCATTTTATTTATATATTATGTACATTCTTTAGTACATATATATATATATATCTATATTTTTCTAAGAATAAAATTGATCTCAATTTCTAGATATATAAATCTATAGTTTTTCGAATCTTGAACAAGAGGAAAAATATAATTGATATTTTATAAAGATTAGAAAACTCGTCGAAAAACTAAATTCTATTAAAATTGATTTGATCTTGAAATTGATATTGATAATAACTAATAGGCTTTCTGAAATTTTTCTAAATCTAGATAATTTGAGAATGAGGATTTATTATTTTTGGAATTTATCGATATAGATAGATATTAAATAAATTGATTTTTAGATTCTATGATAATTCTTTATTAGAATATATTTATTAATTTTCAATAAAAATAATGATGGAATATTAAAGAATGATTTATAATT